AGCCTTGACCTCATGGACTCAAGCAATCCTCGTACCCCAGCCACCCTGGTAGCTGGGACTACAGGCATGACAGCACCACTGTGCTGATGATCGAGTTGTCTTAGGGGTGAAACGAGGTCATACATGTAAATGGCTATTATTGTTATTAGCACTTGGTAATTAGAACCTGTTAATATTCCTCACTAGTCCCTGTGGCTAGGGTTTGGAGAAAGAATCCAGAGGTTGTAATCTGCCCCGGCAGAGGCCATCGGACCACCTCCCGCCCACTTGTGGTTTGGGGGAAGGGTGTGGCCGGTGGGAGGAGGGCGGGGACTCTGGTTATCTGGAGGGTGGGACTTCTGATTTGAATGGGATCACCACCTGCAGCCGGAAGTTAGTGGTGAGGTTTACCTGTCCCCTCTGGACTCCTGAGTTAGGGTGTATCAGGTGGACCTAATGAGGGCAAAGCTGAGGGACTGGGAGACAGGCAGCCTGGGTGAGCCCTGCCTCTGATAGACTGATGACCTGAACCGGAGGCTGGACCGGAACTCGAGCCTGGAGTCACAAGCCTCTGTGTTCTCACCTGAAAACGGGGAATCCTGGGAATGACTTTCTAGGGTCGTTATGATGTTTGCATTAAGTAATTCAGGTACCGTAGCTTGGATGATGCAGTGAATGTGTATTTATCTCAAGGATTCTCTCAATCATGCTATGATGTGGGCACACAGTCACTAAGCCACCAGGCAGGGAAAGGGGCAGTAAAAGAACATCTTAGAATGCAGAGTTGAACTTCAGTGCTGAGCAGTGAGGACGCCCCTCAGAGAGGGGAAGTGAGTTGCCTAAGGTCACACAGCTCGTGGTCTTGGGGTCAGAGCCGCTTTCCCCTTCTCTGCGCGGCCACACTCGGGATCCCACACTCCCCGCTGCCCGTAGCTTGGGACCTTTCCATGGCTGTGTCTGGAGGGGCGCATTTTAGGAAGGTGGCTTTGCTGGCTCTGGAACACGGGGCGCAGGGGGTTGGGGAGAGCCAACCCTGTATCCCTACCGGCTGGGCGAGGGGCGTCTCCTGCCGGCGGCTCGCGCTGCTTCCCGGTCGCCCCGCGGCCTCCCTCCGCCTCCTTGTCTGCCCCGCGCCGCGGGTGTTCAGTTTCAGCGCGGGCATGAGCGCAGGCAGCGCCGGGCTCCCCGCGGAAGGAAGGCAGAGAGCAGGGGCCCCGTGTCCTCGGTCGGGGCCTGGCAGCGCCGTGGAGGGGGCTCGGCTCGCGTCGCCGCCGGGAGCGGGGCCGGGCGTGCGTCGAGCCTCCGCCGCCGAAGGGGACGCCCGGGAGCCGAAGGGGAAGCCCGGGAGCCGCCGCCGCCGCCGCCGCCGCCGAGGGTAACCGCGGGCCGCGCTGCCCGGGCACCCCCTCCTTTGTGGCGCTGCGCGGGGCGGGTGTGGGTGGCCTCCCGCCCGCGGGCTGCACGCCTGGCGTCGCGGAGCCGCTCTTTGTGTCTCCCGGGGTAGGGTGCGAGTGTACGCCGCGCGCTTGGCACCTCCCGCGCCCCTCGGGTGCCCGCGTTCCAGGGCCCCTCCCGGCCCTTTCCCCACGGGGACGCCGCCCGAGCCTCAGGGGGAGTTACGCCAAGTTGGAGGGAAAAGGGTGGGGCGGGGCCGCCCCGCCTCCGCAGCCCCCAGGCAGCGCCCCAAAGTTGATGCTGCAGGTGCAGCGACCCTCCTGCCGCCCTCCTCCCCGCCTGCCCGGCCTTGGCGGTGGGAACCTCATAAGGACTCAGTTTGGGGGCTCCCGATGATCTGCCGCAAACTTGGAGGGTGCCTTGCTGCACAGAAGCCACCTGAGCTGGGGGCGGCCCGGGGCGCGGCTTTCTGGGCAGGGGGCGGCCGAGGCCCAGGCGGAAGCCGGGCTAGCCGGCTGGCCGCGGGGAGAGCTTAGCGGCCGTGGCACCGAGCCGGGGTGCCCATGTGACTGCGGTGTGCTTGGGAAGAGGAAGCTGCAGAGGTCAGTGCAAAGGCGTCACGCCAGAGCGAGCGCGCGAGCGAGCCAGGGGGGAGCCCCGGAACCAGCTCAGGGCGGGCGCGGGGGTGGCCTGCCCGCTGCAGGGGCCGGACAAAGCCACGCTGTCCCAGACACCCTGGCTCTTCTAAAGCGTGCGATCCCAGGGTGGGAGGGGCGGCCAGGCTTGGCAGCCAGGAAATGAGGGACACTGGGAGGAGGGGCCTCTCCGGGACAGGCAGGTCTGGAAGAGGCGGCCCCAGCCCCCAGAGGGGCCTCTGGATGCTAGAGGGTGACCCAGAGGGCAGATCAGACGCAGACTCAACTTGGAGAACTTTCCCTGCACACTGCAGCCAGCTTGCAGGGATTCTCGTTTTCTGCACGTGCTGGGGAGGTCGGAGATGGGGGGGGAACTCGAGGATGGCAGGGTGGGGGTGACCTGGTTAGCCAGGCAACCCTGCGGCCCACAGCCCAAGAAGCGAGCTCCTGTCATCTCCTCTCTGCTGTGGGTACCCGCGGGCATCCAGCTGCCGACAGGAGAAGCACGTTCTCCGAGCTCCACCCCGAACATACTTAGATTGTTTTCCCTAGACTGTGTTCAGCTGAGGCCTGGAGGGGGTGGAAACCAAGGTTAGATTAAAAAAAGAAAAAAAAATCCCGTAGACGAAGAGATGGTTTTAGGGAAATGAGGACTAATATTTTGAAGTGGTGCTTAGAGAGAAGAGGCCAGTGTGGTCCGTGGGGGTGGGGTGGGTGAGGGCTTCAGGACCCCCCCTTTCCTTGGAGAGAAGAGGATCACCCAGGCCTTCAGGCCGGGACCCCACTGGGCCCAGCCGGCCTGCAGGTGAGGACGGTGTGGAGCCAGAGTCGGGACTGTTACCGCCCCAGTGCCAGCTCCGCAGCCCGCGCCTGTCTTCGTGACAGCCTGCGTCCTGTGCTGTCAACTACACCCCTCCGATGGGGTTGCTAGGCAGCGGGGCTCTGATGTACTGGAAGGCCTTCTGATTTGTCAGCCTCCTGCAGACACATGGTTAAGGCTCCTTCCAGCCTATCGGGAGGAGGGACGCGGGCACGCCGCCTGCATACTGCTGAGCCCCCGGTCCACCTGAAAGCGAGGTGCAAAAGGCAGCCAGAGGGAGGGAGGGGGCACCTGGAGCCCTCTGCCTTCTAACCAGCTCAGCCCCACTCCCCGCATTATCTCCACTCGGGCCAGCACGCTGCTGGCTCCTCCCTGTCCGTCCCCGCCCCATTCCTCCCCTCTTCCCCAAACCATGGAAAAGCAAAGTGCAGCGGGGAAAAGAGGTCAGTGGGGTAAGCATGTGTTGCGGGCTCTGGAGATGCCAAGGTGCATGGGCGTGAGCGGTGGGGAGGCTGCCCATCCATGCCTCCTGGGCTGTTGTGGGAAGGGGCTAGTGGTCGGGAGGGGTCCCTGGTACCGTCATCTGCCAGGCCTGGACTTGGAAGCCTGCTCTGTGCCCTCTCCTCCTTAAGCTCTGCCCCACTCCTACAAGAGCAGCAGTTGAGGGAGGAGGGAAACCCTGGGTCTTCCTGCAAGGAAGGGTGGGCTCTGCAGCCCTCCATAGCGCTGAGAAGGAGTGGCTGCTGGCCGGTTCCTGCCTCTCCTGGATGCACTCCTTCGCCCCAGCCTCCAAGGTCCAAGTTCTCCCTCCTCCTCTCTTTCTGTGAGTGGCCACCACCCCCAATTTAATTTCTCTTCAGTTCGTTACTTGTTTATAACAGCCTTACTGAGACAGAGTTCACAGACCATTCACCCATGTCAAAATGTACAATTCAACGGATTTTAGTATGTTCACAGAGTTTTGCAACCACAGTTAATTTTGGAACATTTTCATCACCCCAGAATGAAACCCTGTAACCATTAGCAGTCGCTCCCCATTCTCCTGCCCCCTAGCCCCTGACATCCACTAATCTGCTTTCTATCTCTATAAATTTGTCTACTCTGGACGTTTTCTATACGTGGGACCAGATACCGAGTGGTCTTTTGTGGCTGGACCCCCCCCCCCTTACTTTTCTAGCTGCATTGTTTACTTGGCAGTCAATTGCAGTTTTGTTTGTTTGTTTGTTTGTTTTTGATCATTTAACTTTTCCTGTGCGTTGCTCCTTTAGTAGTGTCACATCCTTAGGGGCAGAGGTCTTCTGCATTCTTACGCATTTCTCTCAAGGCCAAAGCTGGCTCAGGGCTGGACCTCTGGTTGAATGAATGAGATGAATGGGACTGGTAATTGGCAAGCCGTGCAGGTGGTTTACAACTGAATTCCAGGGGGCCCAGCTGCTGCAAAGGGGGCTGGCAGCTTGGGAGAACTGCAGGTATCCAAGCTGTGAAGGAACAGAGAAGAAGCTTCTATCTGGGGGCGGGCAGAGGCGGGGCAAGTGTAGAAACCCACCCTGTGTAGGCTGGGCATGGTGGCTCATGCCTATAATCCCAGCCCTTTGGGAGATTGAGGCAGGTGGATCACAAGGTCAGGAGATCTAGACCATCCTGGCTAACACGGCGAAACCCCGTCTCTACTAAAAATACAAAAAAAAATTAGCCAGGTGTGGTGGACATGCCTCTGTAATCTCAGCTACTCGGGAGGCTGAGGCAGGAGAATCGCTTGAACCCAGGAGGCGGAGGTTACCGTGAGCTGAGATCACGCCACCACACTCCAGCCTGGGCGACAGAGCAAGACTCCAACTCAAAAAAAAAAAAAAAAAAAAAAACCCAAAACCAGCCTGTATTAGGAACCTGTGAGGTGGCCTGTGGGTTGCTACTTCTCACAAGAACCTGAAAACAAGTATATGCTCCCAGCCTCTGGGGTAGGTAGGCGACCAAGGAGATTCGTCACCTGATCACAGGGGCTTCCCCCATGGGGAACTCCGATTACACTTGGATTTTTAAAGAAAAAAAATTCCCCAGTGTCAGCGTTTATAAAAGGGTGCCAATTCGGGACCTCTGAAGTCCTTTGCTTACCTCTTGTGATTTAGTTCTTGACTTGTGTGTTATTCTGTCTCCCTGCCTCTGTGCCGCAGGTACTGTCTGATGAGTGTGAAAGGTTGTTTCACTGACTTCCACATCGACTTTGGAGGCACTTCCGTTTGGTACCACGTTTTCCGAGGTGGGAAGGTGAGTTTCAGTTGCCTTTAACTTTTTGTGCATCTCCAGCTGTTTGTGTGGGGAGGGGCTCACTCACCGTTCTGCCTCCTCCCACCTCCCTCCTCCAGCCAGCCCTGCCCCAGGAATTCTTTCAGGATCGCTCTTTTGAAAATTTTTTATTTTTAAGTAATAGGATCTTGCTCCGTCCTCCAGGCTGGAGTGCAGTGGCGAGATCACAGCCTACTGTAGCCTCTACCTCCAGGCTCAGGCAGTCCACCCACCTCAGCCTCCCGAGTAGCTGGGACCATAGGCATGCGCCACCAGGCCCGGCTAATTTTTGTATTTTTTTGTAGAGACAGAGTTTCAGCATGTTGCTCAGGGCGTTCTCAAACTCCCAGCTCAAGTGATCCTCTTATTTTGGCCTCCCAAAGTGCTAGGATTATAGGCATGGGCCTTTGCTCCTGGCCCAGGGTCCCTTCTTCCTGTAGAACCACGTCCTCCTTCTAAAGGGAAAGGTCAAGTTCAAGACTTTTACATCACATCTAGTCACCCATGCAGGCCTGCCCCGCTCACCCAGTCCAGCATTCTAAGCCCCTTGGGTCAGATTTGAAGCTGGGGTCTGGCACCAGAACATTCAGCATTCACTGTCCCTGGCTGCCATCTCTGCCCCGGCTGCCATCTCAGCTCCAGCCCTGGGACCTTTTCAAAGTCTAGTTGCCAGTGCCACCTGCCTCCAAGAACATTTCGCCCCAGGGACAGAATGAGAAGGGTGTTCCCTCTGCCTGCTTTTGTTTCGTGTCCACGTGGGGACGTAGGTGTCCCTGGAGGTGGGTGCTTCTTGAAAACACGCCTGTGCCACCTGCTTGGCTGGGTCTGCATGTGCGTTTGTTTTAACTGAACGTGTTGGAAGAAATTCTGGGAGGAAGTCAACCCACTTGATTCCAGATGTTTTTCCTCCTTCTCCAAAGTGTGCACAAGCCGGGTTTATTTACTGGGCCATTTTATCACACAGTGTAGGAAATTCCCTTCCTCTCCTGCCCCTACCTCCCAGAAGAGCACAGGAGAAAGCATGTCCCACCCAGTCCAGGAAGTACTCCCATCCCGGGATTTCAGCTGGCATGGAGGTTCCCTGAAGGTGGGCACAGCCCTTCCCACCTCCCCAGAGGCTCTTTGGGCCTGGCCTTGCAGAAGGTCCAAAGGGAGGGATCCTCCCATGTCCCCCGGTGTCTCACCCCCTCCCCTAACCCCAGGCAGAGGGGCTCTCTCTGGGCCGTCTTGGGCCTGGGTCTCCAGCTGACTGCCTGCATTTCCTCCCAAGATTTTTTGGCTGATTCCTCCAACGCTGCACAATTTGGCGCTGTATGAGGAGTGGGTGCTGTCAGGCAAACAGAGTGACATCTTTCTGGGAGACCGTGTGGAACGATGCCAAAGAATTGAGCTGAAACAGGGCTACACATTTTTCATCCCTTCCGGTAGGTTCCGAGGGACTCTCTCTGGGCTCTCCAAGTCCCTGCGGCCTGGGCCAGGGTTTTCGGCCTCCTGAGGGTTGCTCTGGGGCTGGTGGGTTTGATGGGCCATTGGCAGTCCCTGAGGAAAGCCCGCCTTGGGCTGGAGGGAGAAGCCTCGCAGTTTTCTGCACACAGCCCACCTGCGGCTGGAATTCTCTCTCCCTCGGAGATAGCCTTGGGCTGTCTCAGGGGAGACCTGAATGCCTCCTCAGGACTTCCTATGGAGATTTGTGTTTTGGGTAATGGGGTCGGGTTTGCCCCGAGGCAGGGTCTGGGGAAGGACTGTGCATGGTCTCCAGTGGAATTCTGACTTGGCCACTTACAGACTGTGACTTCGCTTCTTTGTGCCTCAGTGTTCCCATCTGTAAAATGGGATTAAGATTTCCCCAGGGTGGTCATGAGGACTGAGTGAGCTAACACCTCCTTACCTCCAGTTCATTGGTGATGGACTAAGGGCTTTTGGCTGGTTCCAGGCTCAGTCACTAGTGGATGTGGCTGATGACCTAGGAGTCAGGGAATTACCTCTTAGTCTGCCTTAATGGAAGCATTGTACCTAGAATGACGGAGGTGATAGTCCCGCTGTGTAGAGGAGAGTCAGGCCACACGTAGGAGTGTTTTTTTTTTTGTTTGCTTTTTTTTGAGACAGTCTTGCTCTGTCACCCAGGCTGGAGTGCAGTGGCATGATCTCGGCTCACTGGAACCTCCACCTCCTGGGTTCAAGCAATTCTCATGTCTCAACCTCCCAAGTAGCTGGGATTACAGACATGCACCAATATGCCTAGCTAATTTTTGTAGTTTTAGAAAAGATGGGGTTTTGCCATGTTGTCCAGGCTGATCTCAAACTCCTGGCCTCAAGGGGTTATCCCTCCTGGGCCTCCCGCAGTGCTAGGATTACAGGTGTGAGCCACCATGCCTAGCCTGTAGGTTTTGTTCCTCTTAGTCATTGTACTTTGGAGGGTAAAGCAACCTTTAGGGGGGTGTAGGTGGGTCTAGGAACCACATCAGGTGAGATGAGTTTGAAGGAGGAAGTGGGCTGCTTTACTTGAGGAAGTGAAGGCATATGGTAACTGCAGTCAGCTGGGCGAAGGATTGTCTCCTGGAAGGAGTATAGCCGAGTGGTGTTGGAATAACTTGCTTTGTTAAGTAGTGAGCTCCCTGTCACTGAAGGCATGCAAGTACAAAGTAGATACAGATGAGTCAAGGCGCTTGCAGAGAATCTGCAACTGGGTGGAAGCTTAGACCGGAGGATAGGCGTATCCCCTGAGGCCACTAGGATGTTTCTTCGAGTTGCGCTGGAAGCTGGCCTTAGGTCTGGACATCAAGCGTTAGTGGTGGTTGTAGTAGCAGTTTCTGCTATGGGGACGGGGCCTGCACACCTGGGTGCTTCTAGAATGCTGGGCAGAAACGGGAGACTTCCCTATTAGGGAGATTTGGGGTTTGGAAGTGTCAGGGTTTAGTGCGGGGGTGACTTTGTTACCATGGCCCCAGGTCTGTTCTCAGAGCTGCTTGGCTCAGGGAAGGGACTGACTCCTGCTTGGGATGGAAGGGATTATTGCACTTGGTGGTCAGCATTTATGGGGGATACCCTGGCAGATGTGAAGTAGAGACTGGGGAAGGAGGTGGTATCCTCCTTCTAATGGAGCTGTGCTCAGCCCACTCTGTAGGTGTTGCTGGATTGGGCCCTGGGTTCAAAGGATGACTGGAAGGCTCTTGGCCTTGCTGCTGACTCTCTTTGTGACATTAGCTGGTTTCTTCCTCTCTCTGCGCCTCAGCTCTCCCATCTCTACCAGAGGGTGGGGTGGAGCTGAACTCTGGGACCCTCAAGTTCCCTCCCAGCCCCATCTTCTGAGCCTAACAGTGCTTAGAACTGGGAGGTGGCTCATCACTTTCCCCCTGTGTGGGATGGGGTGGGTGTTGATGTTGGTGACTTAAGCAAGCTGGGGGAGGTCTTGAGGAGCAGCAGCAGCAGGGGTGTGGGTGTGGCTGTCTACTGAAGCCAGGAAGAGGAAACGTGCATTTGAGATGCGCAAGCAGGAGTCCAGTTAGATCTGGGTGAAGACTTCTGGCCCTAAGGGTCATGCTTTGAGATACCAGGATTCTTCCCCTCGCCCTGCCCCTGCTCCCCTCCACCTCCGCCCTGGGAGTTTTGGGAAGTAGAAAAGGGACAGTTGAAATTGCTGGCTTCTGAGATGCAGGGGTGAGGCAGGGTAGGAGGGTACAACCTAGTTCAGTGGTTCCCAGCCATTGATTTCATGGACTAGTGAAAAAACAAAAAACAAAAAACAAAAAACACTTAGGAACAGATACAAAGTTGCCAACTTGTAATTTTACTAAAGATGGGCAGTTAAGATCAACAGACCCTGTGGTCTATTGATACTAAAAATGTTACAAGTATAAAATGTCAGAACAAAGGATAGCACTTTAAATTTGATCGTTTTTTTCATTCTGTTTCCAACCAGTGAAAACTAAAGGATTCCCCCACCCATCCCAAAAAAAAAAAAAAAAAAAAAGAAAAAAAAACTGAAGAACCAGAGACCCAGGGAACCCCGGCCCTCATTTGAGTGTTTTTTGTTTTTTTTTTTAAGATGGAGTCTTGCTCTGTTCCCAGGTGCTGGAGAGCAGTGGCGCAATCTCGGCTCACTACAAACTCCACCTCCCAGGTTCAAGTGATTCTTTTGCCTCAGCCTCCTGAGTAGCTGAGATTGCAGGTGCCTGCCACCATGCCTGGCTAATTTTTGTATTTTTAGCAGCTATGGGGTTTTGTCATGTTGTCCAGGCTGGTCTTGAACTCCTGGGCTCAAATGAGCTGCCCGCCTGGGCCTCCCAAAATGCTGAGATTATAGGCATGAGCCACTGTGCCCAGCCTCTAGATGAGTATTTTAGGTGCTCCCCGGGGCCTGAGGATTCTTTCCAGCATCCACACTGTCTGAGCCACGTACAAACACACATCTGAGATTCATGGTACTTGACTTGCGGCTTTGGGGAGAGAGTCTTCGGAAACCCAGGAAGGGTTTATGGCTCCCTGGATGGGAGTTTTTCCATACTGAAGTGGAGAATCAAATTCTGGTGTTTCCCGCCTCTGCCCTGAGTTTTTATCACCACAGTGTGACGTTAGGCACGTCTCCTCTTGCCACACTGGCCTCACATATTCATCTAGGGGCCAGCGCAGTAGCTCACACCTGTAATCCCAGCATTTTGGGAGACCCAGGCGGGCAGATCACTTCAGCCGCAGTTCAGGGAGTCTTCAGTTCTCTGCAAGCTCACAGGATGTTGATGGTTTAGGAGGACTTTAACCATGAAGGAATTCTGGATTTTGTCAAATGCCTTTTCTGTGTCTGTTGAGATGATCATGTGATTTTTAATTTTAATTCTATTTATGTGGTGTATCCCATTTATTGACATGTGTATGTTAAACCATCCCTGCGTGCCTGGTATACAGCCCACTTGGTCATGGAGGGTTTATCTTGTTGATACACTGTTGGATTCAGTTAGCTAGTATTTTGTTGAGGTTTTTTACGTCTATGTTCATCAGGGATATTGGTCTGTAGTTTTCCTTTTTTTGTTATGTCCTTTCCTGGTTTTGGTATAAGGGTGACTGGCTTCATAGAATGATTCAGGGAGGACTCTCTCTTTCCCTCTTTTTTGGAATAGTGTCAACAGAATCGGTACCAGGTCATCTTTATTTTTTAATTAAGTAATTATTATTATTATTTTTTGAAGCTGAATTTTACTCTTGTTGCTCAGGCTGGAGTGCAGTGGCACAATCTCGGCTCACTGCAATCTCTGCCTCCCAGGTTCAAGCGATCCTCCAGCCTCAGCCTCCCAAGTTACTGGGATTTCAGGCATGCACCATCACGCCTGGCTAATTTTTGTATTTTTAGTAGAGACACGGTTTCACCATGTTGCTCAGGCTGATCTCAAACTCCTGACCTCAAGAGATCCACCCACTTGAATATCTGATAGAATTCAGCTATGAATCCAAGGAAGACCTTATTTATTTATTTATTTATTTATTTTTGAGACAGAGTCTCACCTTGTCGGCTGGAGTGCAGTGGGCATGATCTCAACTCACTGCAATCTCTGCCTCCTGGGTTCAAGTAATTCTCGTGCCTCAGCCTCCTGAGTAGCTGGGATTACAAGTGTATGCTACCACGCCTGGCTAATTTTTTTATTTTTAGTGGAGACAGGGTTTCTCCATGTTGGCCAAGTACAAATTCCTGGCCTCAAGTGATCCTCCTGCCTCAACCTCACAAAGTGCTAGGATTACAGCCATGAGCCACAACACCTGGCCTCCAAGGAGGACTTTATTATTTATTTATATATTTATTTTGAGATGCAGTCTCACTGTGTTACCCAGGCTGGAGTGCAATGGCACCATCTTGGCTCACTGCAACCTCCACCTCCCGGGTTCAAGCAATTCTCCTGCCTCAGTCTCCCCAATAGCTGAGATTACAGGTGTATATCACCACACCTGGCTAATTTTTGTATTTTTAGTAGATACGCGGTTTCACCATGTTGGCCAGGCTGGTCTCGAACTTCTGACCTCAGGAGATCCAACTGCCTCAGCCTCCCAAAGTACTGGGGTTATAGGCGTGAGCCACCACACCTGGCTGACCAAGGAAGACTTTAAATGGCACTATGTTTTGTCTGAGATGAAGGAGCTGGGTCCTGGCTGTGCTTCAGGGTTGGTGATTCTTTAAACCTTATCCCTAGATAATCTAGGAGAGCTGCCTGAAAAAGGAAGACCATTTAAGATGACTGAGGAGTAGGATGATCTGGAGAAAGGGGCTTGGGTTTGCCCCTTTCGAAGGTGGCCATACCTTGATGAGGCAAAGGAGGTGAGAATACAGCGTCAGGGTCAGGTCATCAAGGCCAGGGTCAGGCATGCCTAGGGGGTCGCCAGGTCTTAGCCTTATAATGAGCAGTAAAGAAAGCTGGAAGTGGAAGTCACCCCTGGGGAATAGGAAATTGGGAACTTTAAGTGCCTGGGGTGAACCAGGTGATGTCCTTTTCCTCCAGCTCGGTCTGGGCAATGGCACCATCCTGGCCACATTTGTGGGCTTGGCCTCCCCACTCTGCCTGTGCCAGCCTAGGTGAGCTATAGTTCACAGTTCTAAGCAATGAACATTTACAATTTTTATTTTATTTTATTGAGTCAGGATCTCACTCTGTTGCTCAGGCTGGAGTAGCATAGCCTGATCCAACCAATGTTTCATGTACATTATTTATCTTCTCTACAGGCATATGTGGAGAATTTAATATTCTCCACATTTTTTTAGAGACAGGGGTTTCACCTTGTTGGCCAGGCTGGTCTTGAATTCCTGACCTCAGGTGATCCGCCCGCCTCAGTCTCCCAAAGTGCTGGGATTACAGGCCTGAGCCACCGTTTCCGGCATATTCTTCATGTTAAAAACATTTTTTTTTTGCCAGGCGTGGCGGCTCACATCTGTAATCCCAGCACTTTGGGAGGCTGAGGTGGGTGGATCACGAGGTCAAGAGAGCGAGACCATCCTGGCCAACAGGGTGAAACCCCATCTCTACTAAAAATACAAAAATTAGCCAGGCGTGGTGGCGCGTGCCTGTAATCCCAGCTACTCAGCTGGCTGAGGCAGAATTGTTTGAACCCAGGAGGCAGAGGTTGCAGTGAGCTGAGATGGTGCCACTGCACTCCAGCCTGGTGACACAGTAAGATTCCATCTCAAAAAAACAAAAAGCGACAAAACAACAACCAAAGAAATATCTCCATTTTTGTAACAGGGGGTGGTGTGAAATAATTGGCCCCCAGTCCCAACTATGAGATCCTCGAGGGGAGAGGCCATCCTTACTTCATCTCAGCGGTTCCTGATCCTGGCCCAGCGCAGGGAGTTCACTGATGCCAGTGAAGGAGGCCAGGATCCGGTTGGGTCGTGGGTGTCTGTGAGGTCGTGTCGACTTCTGAGACCTCTGGGTTTATTCCTGCTGAAGCTGCGGAGGAGGAGGCAGATGTGGGTGGGGCCTTTGGATCCCAAGTCCTGAGCGTCTTGGTTGTGGGTAACACTCCACATGCCCCGCTGCCCTTCTTGGCCCCTCTCAGGTCCCAGAGAATGTGCTGCTTTGCGGGTCACTGGTTTCCCATCCATGACTGCCTCTGTCCCTGGTCGCTTGACCTGAATAGCCTCTGTTTATTGCCTTCATATTGTCGATGACTGTGACTGGGAAGCAGGAGGCAGACGCCAGCATCCCCAGCCCAGGCAGCAGCCTGGGGACACCGGCTCTCATGCTTCCTGGGCTGTTGAGAGGCCATTGGAGGGTGGGTATGGATGGGGCCCACGAAGGCTGCTTTTTCCATGCCTCCTTCTTCCCGAGGGAGGCCTGTGGGTAATGAAGCAGGTATGAGCAGGAGAGGGACATTGTGGCGGCTAACCCAGGGGTGGCCGCCTGACCCACCCTTCAGGCCCTGGTTGGGAAGAGGAGGGGGTAGAAGCTTCTAGAATCCCTCGAGTGTCTGGGTGTGCCAATCCCCTGCCCCCTCCTTGCAGCAGCAGCTCTATTCTGTGTTCCTCTTTGCTCACGCGTCAGGACTAGTCAGATTTATTTAGGTGTGTTGGCCTCTGCACCTGCCGGGAGAACAGAGAGAATACAGGGCTGGTAAAGACGGATGTACATGAGCACCGTCCTCTACCAGAGCCCTTGTGATCCACTGAGACGACCACAGATACTAACGCCAATTGCTCGTGTCGATTCAGGACTTGCTCACCACGTTCCCTAGTAGGGAGGGAGTGGAGGGGACAGTCTTAAACGCTGGCCCCTGGTCTTAGGATTTCTGCAGGGAGGGAGGTGGGCTTGTGGGGCTGTGTAACATACAGCTGCCTATGCATCGCGTGACCCTAGTGGTCCCCGGTCCCAATCTTAGGAAATTTTGCCAGGATAACAGGCATGGTGACAATAGCAACATTCGATAACATGCTTCCACTTGGTAGAAACGTGGAAATGTTGAGGTCAGCCTGTAGGCAGCAGAGGCGGGAGACTGAAGGGGATGTGGAGATGGAGGCGTGTTCAGAGCGGCAGCCATGCCCCTGTGCAGAGGAGGGTGGAGGCGGTGCGGAGGGAAAGCTGGGGAGCTCGACGGCCTCTTGCAACCGCACACCTGGTCAGCAGAGCAGCTGCCTCTGATGGTACCGGGGGAGCCAAGCATGGAATGAGGTTCCCTGAAGCAAAGCCCTTGTGCCTGTACCCAGCAGCATTGGGCTCCCGGCGACACGCTTTCCCTTGCTGTCCGCTGAGGACAGCCAGCTCTGTTCCACGCATTGCCTGGTGGGGAGGGCCAGTGCTAAGTGGCCATTGCAGATGCCAGCGGTGGCCTCGCAGCCTCTGCCCTGTCTTCCCAAGCGGGAGTGTTGTTTCCAGCAGCCGCCTGTGATTCAGGGCTGGTGTGTTTCACTGGGGGAAGAGACTGAAACCGCTTGGCCTTGGGGGGCAGGGGCAGTGGCTGTAATTTTCCTTAGAGCAAAACAGTAAAGTGCATGTCCAGGAGAGGAGGGGACGGTGGCTTCCAGGGCTAGACGCTGCAGGGTGCAGGGTCTTGGGGTACCCTTGCCTCTGCTACACCCTTCCCCCTGCCGACCCTCCTCTGTCCTTCCCTGTGAGTCACTCTGCCTCTGTCCGCCCTTGTCCTTATTTCTCTCTGCATTTCTCTTTTTGTCTCCCCTCCGTTTCCCTGCCTGTCCCCTGGGACTCGGCAGGCCTGTGCAGAGCCTTTGATGCCGCGGCAGCTGTGCAGCCTGGTGGCTAAAAACAGAGCTGCTGTCGCTTGTCAGCTGTGACTTGTTCAGCAAGTGGCTTCCCCCCTTGTGCCCTCAGTTTCAGCATCTGTGAATTGGGGTTGATTCTCCTCCTGCCTGTCCCCTAGCCCCACGCTGTGCAACCTGGCAGCCGGGAGCTACACACATGTTCCCTGAGTACTTTCGGTCTGGCCATGTGAATTGCAGTGCGATAGCTGTGTGTCCCGATGAGTGAGGTGCTTTCTCCTCAGCCCTCATGGGCCACACGGAGCCTGACTTCCTGGGCTCAAAATCCTAAGTGACTTCACTTTCTGTGCCTCAGTTTCCTCATCTGTAAAATTTTTTTGTTGTTGTTTTTGGCTCTATCCCCCAGGCTGTGAGTGCAGTGGTGCGATCTGGGCTCACTGCAACCTCCGCCTCCCAAGTTCAAGTGATTCTTATGCCTCAGCCTCTCGAGTAGCTGGGATTACGGGTACATGCCACCACACCTGGCTAATTTTTGTATTTTTGGTACAGACGAGGTTTCACCATATTGGCCACGCTGTTCTCGAATTCCTGACCTCAGGTGATCCACCTGCTTCGACCTCCCAAAGTGCTGGGATTACAGGTGTGAACCACTGCGCCCGGCTTATTTAATTTTTTTTAGAGATGAGGTCTTAATGTATTGCCCAGGCTGATCTCAGACTCCTGAGCTCAAGCGATCTTCCCGCCTCAGCCTCCCAAAGTGCCAGGATCGCAGGGGTGTACCACCACGCCCGGCCCTGCCTCTATGTCCCTTGTGATGGTGACTGTGCCTGGCTCCAGGCTGTGAGCCCGGGGAAATGAAAAGCTGCAGCCCCCAGCTGTGAGAAGCTGCAGGAGAGACTTGCCAGCAGCCGGCAGCCCTCGGGGCAGAGTGGAGGCAGAGCTGAGAGGGCATGCGTGTGGAACGGGGCTGGGCAGAATTTGATGACAAGTCCAGTGAAGATGGACTTGGCTCTTGCAGCTCTGGCAGGACGTCACTCCTTCATCATGCCATCCTTTGTGAGCCCTCTGGGAAGGTGAGGAAAGGCTCTGGACACATGTGCCACCTGGGGGACGAGGCTCCCGCATGGAGATGGGGAAAAGGGCCTGCCCCTCTGCTGGCCATTGTAGCCATGTCCCCAGAAGAAGCTTTTGTTATGATGGTCCTGAAGAAGTGGGGGCTGGTCTGCAGCTTCTTAGCTCCTGACTTAAGCCAAGTGGTGGCCACTCGGGGCTGTAGGTCTGAGTCCTCTTGGTGGCCCAGGCCTGGGCATTCTGCAGGAAGCATCGCTCCAGGCCCTGGCTGCTCTTCTCTGCCCCCTGCGCCCTCCTGCACACTCACTCTCCCTCCCTGCAGCCTCATGAGGGGGGGAGCCCACAGGGGCCAGCGGCTCATCCTCTCCTTGCCCTTCCCACCCCAGGTTGGATCCATGCCGTCTACACCCCTGTAGACTCATTGGTCTTCGGTGGAAACATCCTGCATAGCTTTAACGTGCCCATGCAGCTGCGGATCTACGAGATTGAGGACAGAACACGGGTAAGGAGGGTTGCTTCTCTCTGAGTGTGCACGCCCAGCCCCTGAGCTCTGCAGGTGCTCAGGGTATGGGACAGGTCATTCTGGAATCTGCAGTTCCCCTCTCCCTCCTGCTTCCTGCCTCGAGCTGGCCTCAGTCTTGGTTCCACAGGGTGGGGGCAGGGGGATGCCCGTAAGAGCCCCACCCGGAGGCCCTGGAGTTTCTGTTCACCCCCAGGCTGGGGGCAGCCAAAACCCCCTTGTGGAAGAGGAAGTATCTCTGAGAAAGCACCGTGAGATTTCAGGGACCCTGCCTTTTTCTCCTTCTCACGTGGAGAAAGGGGTGCGAGGGGTTGGGGGTTTGGTCGCTATTGTTTGGAGGATGGGTGTGGACCCGGGAAGAGCCCGGCCTGGTCCAAGGGCAGGTCTTGGTCATCTGTTCTCCCAGGGATCCCAGATCTGGCTAGTGAGAGGCCCCGAGGAAGCCAGTGTCTGAGTTCCCTTGGATGCTGTCTCTGCTGTCTCTGATGGGGATGTCCCTAGTTCACTGGGGTTGAGGCTTTTCTCTGCCCTTGTTGGGGACAGTGCTAGTTTCTCAGACATCAAGTTTCCCTCACTTACCCCATGACCCAGGACCAGGGCCGGAAGCTCAGGTAACTGACGTGTGTCCTTTGCTCCATAAGTGTCCCTGAAAAGGACAAGTGGCCTGGACTTGCCGTCCTTTTTCCCATACTAGGACTTGACCATGTGTCCCCAGGCATGTGAGATAGTCCCAAACTGGGTCAAAAACTGAAGACTTGGGGCTGGGCATGGTGGCTCATACCTGTAATCCCAGCACTTTGGGAGGCTGAGGTGGGTGGATCCCTTGAGGTCAGGAGTTCGAGACCAGCCTGGCCAACATGGTGAAACCCTGTTTTCTACCAAAAATACAAAAAAAGTTAGCCAGGTGTGGTTGTGCATGCCTGTAGTCCCAGCTACTTGAGAGGCTGTGGCGGGAGGATGGTTTGAGCCCAGGAGGCGGAGTTTGCAGTGAGCTGAGATCGCATCACTGCATTACATCCTGGGCAACAGAGCCAGACCTGTCTCAAACTAAAAAAAACAAACAAAAAAAAAACAAAATCCCCAGAGGCTTGGGGCAAAAAAGGCCCATTTCTTGTTCCACTTGTTCTTGTTTTTCCAACACAGCTATTCAGATATTCATTTTATTTAAATTGAGATGTAATTCATATACCATAAAATTTACCATTTAAAATGTACAGTTGAGTGGTTTTTAGTATCTTGGGTCATCCCCACTAATTTCAGAACATTTTCATCGCCCCAAAAAGAAGCCTTGTACTCACAAGCAGTCACTTCCTGCGTCTCCCCACCTTTCCCCTGGCCAGCCCTAACCTACCTTCTGTGTCTGGATTTGTCTGTTCTGGACATTTGATATAAATGGAGTCCTTCAGCATGTGGCCTTTTGTGTCTGGTTTCTTTCACAGAGCATAATGATTTCCAGGTTCATCCACATAGTAGCATGTATCAGTGCTTCATTCATGTTCATGGCTGAATAATTTTCCATTCTGTGGCTGGACCACACCATTTCTTCTTGGGCTTTGCCTCTGAGATGACTTTTTGCCCCAGTGAGGTGTTGTTCTGCCTAGATCTAAGGAAAGGTCTCACAGGGGCACCTGCTCTGTTCAGAGGCACTGTCCCTCCTCATCTTGTTCTCACGCCATGGTTTGCATGGAATCACATATGTGAGCCAAAGTGTTAGCTGCCTTTGTATCTGAATAGTTAACAGTCCTAGCATTTTGGGCCCTTGTCTGGGGGTTTCCTGGAGACCACTTGGAGCTGTGGTTGGCGGTCAGAAGCTGCAGGGCATGTGTACCTCTTCCGATTGGCATGTGACTCCTAGATCTTCAGAGACCCGGGTCAGGGCTGGGACCCCGTGGGAGACCCTCATTTTGTGGACCTTCTCCCCTCATCTCTCTGTGGCCCAGCATCCCTGTCCCACCTGGGGAAGGCCAGCCCCCGCCCTGGTCTGGAGGAGCCACCCCATGGCGTTCAGGAGAAAAGCACTGTTTGGACAGAAGCGGTCATCTCGAAGTCTGGGTCAAGTGCTGTCTGGGGCTCCGGCCAACTGTTCTTTGACCCGTCCTGGAGTACAGGCCAGTTTGTGCACGAGCAGACATGTGGAACAGAGACGGGGAAATTTAGTGGAAGTCAGGCCCACGACTTTCCAGGCAATTCCTGAAAGCCAGAGTCAGGCTGGAATTTCTAAAGGCTGTGGCACCTTGCTGGACAGCCACCCCTTCCCCCTGGAAATTCAGTCGTAAACTCAGTGGATTTGGGCCCCATGGTTCCCTCAGGAGCCCAACTCCCCTCCCCCACCCATGACGATTTGCAGGGCGCTGGCTAGACCCCTGAGTGACACACTGAGTTTGTGTGGAGTATCACATTCTTGTCGAGAATGGCAGGTCCCCTCCCCCACCGGGGCCCACTGTTCCTTCCCCTGAGTGGGCACCCCATCTGGTTTCACTGAAGCAGGTTGGCAGCAGAGGGCTTGGGGCAGACTGGGCTGGCAGCAGCGGCAGGCTGTTTAATCTGCTTTGATTTCTGGTCTTTGGAGAGGGGCTTGGCTACAAGGCCCGATTGTTTATGTCTTAGGAGCCAAGGCAGACAAAAGGCATTGGACAGAGAGCTCTGGAACCAGATAAGAAGCCAGGGCTCCTTGTCAGCTCACTACAGCTTCATTCTTTACAACCCTGAGAGCTTTCTTAAGAAGGTTATGACCATTTAAAAATAGTGTTTTAAAGGCCAGGCGTGGTGGCTCACGCCTGTAATCCCAGCACTTTGGGAAGCCAAGGCAGGTGGATTACCTGAGGCCAGGAGTTTGAGACCAGCTTCGCCAACATGGTGAAACCCCCGTCTCTACTAAAAATACAGGAATTAGCAGGGCGTGGTGGTGCATGTCTGTAATTCCAGCTACTTGGGAGGCTGAGGCAGGAGAATGGCCTCAACCCAGGAGGCAGAGGTTGCAATGAGCCGAGATCTTACCATTGCACTCCAGCCTGGGCAAAAAGAGTGAAACTCCATCTCAAAAAGAAAAGTATTTTAAGAGTCCTAAGACATGGCTTTGCTTGGAAACCAAATGCAGGAGGTGGGACAAAGGGAACCATCAGTCTCCGAGCTCTGTGGTGTGGGTTTGTCTTAGAATTTGCCTGGCCAGGTGTGGTGGCTCATGCCTGTAATCCCAGCAGTTGGGGAGGCCAAGGCGGGCAGATGATCTGAGGTCAAGAGTTCAAGACCAGCCTGGCCAACATGGTGAAACCCTTGTTTCTACTAAAAAAATACAAAAATTAGCCGGGTACTGTGGTGTGTGCCTATAGTCCCAGATACTTGGGAGTCTGAGGCAGGAGAATCGCTTGAACTCAGGAGGCGGAGGTTTCAGTGAGCTTAGATTGCACCACTGCACTCCAGCCTGGGCAACAGAGCAAGACTCCATCTTAAAAAAAAAAAAGAAAAGAAAAAGAAAAAGAATTTGCCTTTGTGGCCCAATGTGGGGGATCCCTATCTAAACTAGGGAGCTCCAGGTTTCTCCTGGGTTCAGGAAGCTGTGTCTTACCCTCACCATTTAAGTTTTTCTGGGGGAGATGATGATAGGTGACCCCATCCTGCAGTGTCACTGCCCATGAGGCGGCACGAGCAGATGCAGGCTTTTAGGGACTGGTGGATTTCCATTCCCCAGCCCTTGTGGAGGAAATCTACCCTTTCCCCCATCCTGCAGCTGTGAAGAATGATGGAACAATGACACCAACGAGTGGATGTGTTGTGTGTTTGATACTTAAGACAACATCTCAATAATCACTATGTTCTTTTAACTTCAGTTAGGTTGATAAGGAATAGATATGGTCCAGATCACTAAACTGCCATGTCTCTTATATTTATCTTTTCTCCCCCCAATGGCTCTAGTGAAAGCAGCCTTCCCAGAAAAGGTAATGCCGACACGCCCCTTCCCTCACAGCCAGTGAATCTATCTGGAAATTGCAAATAATTTACCGTCCCTCTCCCCTTCCCCCTACCTACCATTGGACTTTTTTTTTTTTTTTTTTTCCCATCGATTTTTTTTTTTTTTTTCCAGGAGAAAAACAAATTGTAGGACACTTCCACCCACTCTCACATTTTTACTTTTTCAAGTCCTTGAGACCTGGGAGTTCTAGAGCCACCTGAGAACCCTTTCATTCTCATCTCCTGAGGGTCACTCAGCTCGAAGACGACTTGGGCCTCCGAGGAAGGGCGGAGGCCAGGTGCCAGTGAGTGGGCCCTGAGGTCCTCTGGCAGACGGATGACCTGCAGGCTGGGAGCATTGCATGCCTTGTGACTGCCTTGCCTTTCATTTGGGACTGACACTGGTTAACTCGATTTGGTGAGGCTCCGATCTGTCAACAAGTGATGTTGAGCAACCCTATGTTTAATGTCCCTAGGCATGTGGCTGAAACCTTTTGAAGGCGAAGGGTGGAAGGCGACAACCTGTTTGTAAGTCAACTCTTTGCAGATTTTTGTTTCCCGCAGTCCTCTCTGGGAAAAAAAAAAATAAAAGAATAAAAAAAGAAATTTGAATTCCTTCATCAGCATTTGTTTCCACCCAGCTGGTTTCCCTTGGGTTCAGCAACAAAGAAGGGACACTTATCTTTCCCTCCTGAAATGCAGCCTCCCAGTTTTTCCCTCCTAACTTAGAAAGATTCCCAGGTCATGGTGTGGCTCAGTTGGTGTCAAAAAGATTTGAAAAGTCAAAACCGACTTCAGATTTTACCAATCAAGTCTCAGGTCAGGAAATGTGGATGAGGGGCTGCGTGTCCTCAGCCTGCTCTTTAGATATTCGTCATTTGTTCCAAAATCTTTTGTCCCTTTGTCTTGAATAGAGGTGGGGCTGAGGTCCCCTAACTCCTTTTTCATAGGAATTCAAAGTCTGCTTCCTGCCAAAGAGCCCCTCTTTTTAAACTCCAGAGGGCAGTGATCTAGTAACTACAAAAAAAAAAAATGACTACTCTCCCAGCACTGAAACTGGGCTTCTCAGGAAAGGAGCTGGAGCCAAGGAAACCGCTAGACGATGGTTCCCACTCCATGCATCCCCTGCGGGCTGAAGAGCATGTGGCGGCCATGATCCCATTCCAAAGCATTCCATCCATCAGGGGCAGGCAGAGCCGAGCACCCGAGCACCCGAGCACCCAGCCTGCAGGCAGAGAAAGGAGGTCCCCGAAGTAGGAGGAGGCCTTGAGGCCAGTAGCTGAGTGACAGCCAGGACTCTCAGAGATGGCTGGGTCCAGACAGGCACTTTGGGAAATGCAGGAAAATAGCATTTTAGGGCAAAAGGAGAACCGAGGTCTGCTTCTAGTTGTCTTTGTCCCAGATGGGGAATGTCACCTGTTTGTTTATCGGCAGCAGAGAACAGAGCAGTGAGGGTGGGTGAGTGTGATTGGAGGGGTGGGAGAGTCTGATTAGGGAGGGGGTGGCAGAGTGTGGTTGGGGATGGGGAGTGTGATTAGGGGGTTGGGGAGTGTGAATAGGAGGGTGGGGGTGTGACTGGGGTGGAGAATGTGAATAGGAGGGATGCAGAGTGTGATTGGGGCATGGGGGGTATGAATAGGAGGGTGGGGAGTGTGATTGGGTGTGGGGAGCATGCTTAGGGGGGTGGAGAGTGATTGGGGTGGAGAGTGTGATTAGGAGGGTGGGGAGTGTGATTAGGGGGTGTGAAGTGTGAGTAGGAG